AAATAAATAAATAAATAAATAAATAAATAAATAAATAAATAAATAAATAAATAAATAAATATTGTGCAATCCCCGTGGAGATTCGTACCCTCACCACCCTCCAGGCCTTCCGCATAGCCCTTAAAACCTGGCTGTTCCGACAGGCCTGGGGCTAAAGACTCGCTGCCCCACTTCGAATGGTATGATTGTTGTGTTTTTTAACTATGTCTGGTTTTATGTTTTGTAACTTTGTTTGTTTTCCCCTCCCTTTGAGTTGTGAGCCGCCCTGAGTCCCTTCAGGGAAAAGGGTGGCATACAAATAAATTAAAATAAAATGAAATGAAATGAAGTATCTTCCTTTAAAGATCTGCTAAAACACACATGGCAATTAAAGCATATCACCATGTAAGTGTTTATGGAGATTCTCAGTCATCCAGGTCATGGTTATCTCAAAGGTGATTGCCTTTTTCAAAAGACATCTGGAATGTATTTGTTTTTCCTTGAAGACGTTTCGCTTCTCATCCAAGAAGTTTCATCGGTTCTCACGATTAATAAATAATTAATAATTAATTAAGCTTAGATGAGAAGCAAAACATCTTCAAAGAAAAATAAAGCCCACTTGTCTTTTGAAATAGCACCTTTGAGATTATCAACATGTAAGCTAAACATTTCTTTTACAGGACCCTTAATAAACTATATATTTTAAAGGCAGATAAAAATGGGTCACCATTCATAAATGTATGATTCATGAATGTTTTTATTCTCAGCAGTTTTTTCAGCAGCTAGATAACTTTATACCAGACTTTTAAGTAACTTAAAGAGAGTTATTGAAGAGAGTCAATCTCCAAAACTACTTTAGAGGTACAATTTGGAGAAGTGGTCAAAGTAACACAAATTACCAAATTAGGTTACTGTGTCTGATATTGCTATTTTAAATGTTTATTTTATTATTTGTTGAATGTTTTCATAGATGGCCGGCTCCTCTCTTTAAAAAAAAAATGCAACAATTGATTTTGTTATGTATAGGATAAATGTGGAGATAATACATCAAAGGAATTTTTCATTTTTTTATCATGAAAAGAGAGAGTTAAAATGAAATACGGTATGGGAATTTCTGCAAAAATGAATGCCTCAGAAGAATGATAATGGAAAACTGCTGGCCTGGCTTATTAGCTCAGGAATGTCTGCTCATGAGAGAACTCCTTGAGGGGATAAAATGCCCAAATAACTCTGTCATTCATAGTAAAATACTGTCATATGATGTACACAAAAGCTATTTAGAACTTTAAAACAAGTGTTCAAAAAAATGGCTGGAGAATAACATTTTGGACTTTTCCCTAGTGGTACAGAAAAGATCTCATTGATAAAAGGAGGAACCTCTATTTTAAGAGCACTTTGATCACATGTTTGTTATTGCTTGCCTGTAGGGCTTTTTAATCAACTGTTGATTTTTGTTCTTCATATAAAAACATCACCATTAGTCCTAGCAGAATACTTGACCTTTCCCCCCCAAATATGTATAATTTAGTAACATTACTTTGAAAGCTTGTTTTGCTCAGTGATGGTAAGTCACGGGTTTAAATATTATGGGAAAAATCTAACTTTAATCTCTTATGTTGCTCTTCTAGGCTACCATTTCATATCTCGAATCTAAGATAACTACTTTGAAGATTAGAAAGTACACTTTATTACTGCTTAAGATTCTGTAGTTATTATTCTTATTTCTCCTCCTAAATAATATAAAGTCCACTGGTATTCAGACAGAAATTTAATCAATTAACAGAAATAAAAATTAGTTGAAGAAGCAACATGACCCATCATGTTTTTCATGCCTTCTACCATTTTTATTAAACAAAGGATTGTTATAAATACTTGCATAACAAAGACTTTATACTAGTTCATTACACTGGATCTCTTTAAGTCTGGTTTGAGTCTTAAAGTGAATTACTTTTGAGTCACCTATCATATATTTAAAACCACCCCAAAATTAGTTGTTTCAAGATATAATTCTGTAGTGTTCTAGGCAATTTGCCTCCCCATTTTCAAGAATTCATGCCTCACCTACTTACACCTGCCCTAACAGGTCTTTCAAGGGGGAAAGTAACTTGGCAGTTTTGCAGCACTTTATCCCCATCCTATAGCATTACATGGACTCTTTTGGCACACAATTAGACAAAAGACCACAGAATGAAATAAGAGTATGGAGCTATGTGTAAGCTATTCTTTTTTTAAATGGGGAGAGGAGGAATCTTTCTTTCTCCAAGATTATAAAGTTTGGGGAAGGTTAATTATTCCTTTCTCATTTTTTGTTTTGCAAGGTGGATCAGCATTATCTATAATCTTCAGGCATTTTGAGGAATTGAGGAGTTTAAATAGCAGAAGTGCTCAATATCAAGAAGTAGCTAGGCAATTTGTTAAAGGATGAAGTGGATAAGCCATCTTTCAGTTAAAACTAGCTTGGATCATTTAATATAGGAAAAGACTTTCAACATATGTCCACTCCTGCCAAAAGCAGAAGTCCTTAAACCATCCTGGAGAAAGGGTTGCCTAATCTTTTCTTCAAGACTTCTAGGGATGGAGCACCCTGAGAACTGAGAGCAAGCTGTTCCATTGACTAACCATTCTTATTGTCAGGAAATTCCAGGTTGGATCGCCTTCTGACAAGTTTTCACAGATTCCTTTTTTTTCCTGCCCACAAATGCTATGGAAAATAAATCACCACCTGCTTCCCCGTGACAGCCCTTCAAGTATTGGAAGAGTGCTATTACGTTTCCTCTGAGCCTTCTCTTCCTTAAACATACCTAGTTCCCTCAGTTATCCATTATGATTTAACTTCTAGACTCCTTATCAACTTTGTTGCTCTTCTCTGCACTCTTTCTAGGGCAGTATGGGTGAACCTTTTCAGCACTGATCTTCAGGTTTCCAGCATGCGCATGTGCACCAGCCAGCTAGTCTTTGCATGCATATATGTATCAGAAACCGGAAGACCAACTGGCTGGTGCACATGTGCGTGCTGGAAACCGGAAGAGCAGCTGCCCGGCCTGCACATGCACATTGGGAAGCTGCTCTTCCAGTTTCCAGCAGTCCTGCACACATGAAGACCAGCTGACTGGCACACCGGAACCTGGAAGAGCAACAGACAATGGCTTGCGTGCCTGGAGAGATGGCTCTGTGTGCCATTTCTGGCATGCATACCATTGATTCGCCATCAGGGTTCTTTTTTGAATCATGGTGACCAAAACTGGACAGAGTTACAATTAAGGAAAAATATATCCAAGTAAAAACAATGTTTTGCTTAAAGTTTTTATTTCTTTATTGATATTTTTTAAGAAGGATCATACCTACAGGACCATTGGTGGTAATAGTCATGATAGGCTTGTAATAGGGTGGTAAGAAAAGGCAGAATTTCTGTTTTGGTTTGGAATTCATGATTTAGTATAATTTCATTGTATCCTCATTATCTGAATCTGAAACCATCTTTTTTAGTGGCAAACCTGATTGCTATAAGCAGAGCTTGGTGAATTGGAAGTTCCAGAGCACATGGCACTGTCGATATTAGGACTGGAGTTCTGGAATGATATTTGAACTCCAGCTGATAATAACAAATACCAATCACTGTTCTATTTATCTATTTGTATGGGTGGAATACAAAGACCTGTATTCCACCCATAAAACAGAGTTCAACAAAATGCTTCCTAGTTCAATGTTTAGGCGACTGTAACTTTAGACAACCCTATTTTAGCTTTCATTTTTTACCCATATTTTCTTTGTGAATTCCTCCCCGCCACCCCCTCAAAAAAGCAGTTCTCTTAGCAGGCACCTACCTACAGTAACTCATACTGTATATATCTTATCATATATCATATTGCATAATATATCTATATTGCATCACTATTATTCCATTATGACACACTTTTGAAATATCAGAACTGCACAAGAACTTCAAATAAACTAACCTTATTGAACCAATTGGGACTTTTTTTTTTCGTCACAGCAAGTGTTACACCAAAACCTGCTAGCATTCCTGAAGTAGCGACGGAAGCAAGAAAAAGCCCACCTGCCAAAGATAGAAAGGAAGGAAAGATTAAATTATCAGTTCCATTTCTATCATGAAAAAAGGAGATCCATACATCTCTATTTGAAACAAAAGCCTTTTAGTGCTGAATAGAGAGAAAAGTATCAAAATGTCACAATTGCCAAAATATGCACATGATAAGCTTATTTATTATACACAAGTTAAAAACAACAGAACAAAAGGATATAACAATTGGAATTGTTATTCCAAGTGTTATGAATAACCAACATTCCAGAAGATAGGCTTAAGATACAGAAGGAGCTTGACAGACTTGAACATTGGGTGCTATTTAATAAAATGTAATTCAATGGTGAAAGAAGTAACGGTCTATATTTAGACAAAAAAAATCAAATGCATAGTTGCATAGCATTTGTGGGTTCCGGTACGGTTGGAATGGGCCCGGCAACATCCACATGGACGCGTGCAGCACACATGCATGCATCTTACCGGCTCTGTGAAGCATCACGTAGGCGATGTACGCGCCACGCGCATGCATGGAAGTGTTGAAGACTTAAAAGACAGGTAAGGAATTCGGGCGGGCGGGCCCTCCGGAACACTGTACCGGAATGGTATCCAGTGCTCTTGGAAGGCTCCAGTACATCTGTACTGGGGCCTACCACCTGCAACCCACCACTGTTGCATAGGTATAGTATAGATGTACCTAGCTCAATAGTAGTAGTTGCGAGAGTAATCTTGGAGTCCTAGTGAAGAATCACTGAAATATGAGCCAGCAATATGCTACAGCTGCCTAAAAAACCAATGCAGTCATAAGCTGCATTAACAGAGGAATGGAACAGAGGGATAGAGTCAAGATCACGTGAAGTGGTAATGGTAAGATTGCACTTGAAATACTACATCCGGTTTTGGTCCCCAAGATGTAAAAAGGATGTTAAGACTGTAGAAAGAGTGCAGAGAAGAGCAACAAAGAAAATTAGGGACTGGAGGCTAAAATATATAAAGAACGATTGCTGGAATTGAGTATGTCTAGTAGAAAGAAAAGAAGGATTAAAGGTGACATGATAGCAGTGTTCCAATATCTAAGGGATTGCCATAAAGAAGATGGAATCAAGCTATTCTCCAAAGCGCCGGAAGGCAGGGAAAGAAGCAATGGATGAAAACTAATCAAGGAGAGAAGCAATTTAGAATTAAGGAGAAATTGCCTGACAGGAGACCAACTTGCTTCCAGAAGTTGTGGATGTTCCAACACTGGAAGTTTTTAAAAGAGATTGGACAACCATTTGTCTGAAATGTTATAGGGTTTCCTGCTATTCTGTTAATTAGCACTATGTGCCATTTTAAATCTCCAGATTGTTTGGGAGATTATGGTACAAATTCTAAGTGCAAAGTGTGAATTTGGAATGAGTGTGACTTTCTACATTTATCAATAAACAAAATAACTTTTCTCGGGAAGATTAGTAAGAAGTACAGTTAAATAATAATGTAACACATTAAAGTGTTTCTGGTGCCATTACTACACTTTCCTGTAAGTTACTACCACTAGTTTCTTTCTCTGAAGGAAACACCATCTTCATTTTCAGCTGATAAGACTGTGCCATTGAACAGTCCAGACTGCATTTTGGGTGTCTTTATATCAGAATAACTAATGTTATACATTATTTAAGATCTTTCTTGTTTTATGAAAGCAGCATGTCTTTAGAAAAGAGGTATACACTGATTTCACTAAGTTCACCCATGAAAATGTACTACTGCAGAATCAACAGTCTGTTTGTGATTAAAGACAGTCATCCAAGGGGAAAATCTGCCCAACTTTCTACTGGGCCTACATCCAAAGTGTAAAAAACCCTACCAGTATTTGCATGTTCATAAAATGGTTACACAGAAAATAAAACAGCTACACAAAAAACATCTATGCTTCAAAGATGTTTTATATCTTCCAAAATGAAGATCAGGTTTTTATTTTTAATTTTACTTCTCTCTCTTTTTTTTATCCTGTGTACCTAATTATTGTTTATTTTGGTCAATTAAGCTAACACAGATTTATCTAATTTTGAGCTTCTCGAAGCAGAAAGTTTGTTTTTCGGAATTCAATTAAGTGCCACGGGTTCAAATAATATTCATACGTAAGAATAAATCAATGCCCAATTAAATTAGATGCACTCTTTTTCATGGATAAAAATGGTCTCATTAATATTGAAAACATAATGCAACCCTAATCAAGAGCCATTATTTAATGATATAAAATAACATTCCAAATTATTCACCTATTCACATCTTCTCCTTTTATTCTTAAGAATAAAAGGTAAACTGAGCTGGATACCTTTCCCTCAACTTTCATAATCTCCTGAGCCAAAAAAAGGAAATTTCCAAAATTCAAATATAAAATACTCGGAGTTCTCTAGGTTCAGGGATCCTCCTAAAATAGCTGAACTATTAAATCCACCTATATCAATCAAAACTGAAAAGGTTTCAGTTTCATCACACATGTGTGCATACACACAAAATCAAAGTTTTCCTTCTTCATCCAAGGTTCAGATGAACCTTGCACTAATAAAACCAGTAGACATCCTATGTCTCAAAGGTGCTTTTTCAAGAGGCAACTGGACTGTCTAATCTCTTGAAAAAGCACCTATGGTGTCCTGGTGACGGGAGCAGGACGTCTGAGCTACCTAAATATCGGCTTCTTACTGAAACTGATTTTAATGAAAAGAAATCAGGTTCCGTGTGAGATGAGGTTGTTGAATCCTTCAAACACGTGTGGTAATGAAGAAGCAGGACGCTCGCTGTGCAAAAACTGCTCCTTGAGGATACTTCAGTACGACTTCGCCTAATTCCTGCCCGTTCTAGAGGTTAAGAGCTGGGTTTCAAAAACTCAGGAAGACCCCTTCAATTCGGCGACCTCGCGTCCCCAGAACTGCCCCCTTTTTCACGTGTTTGTAATTTAGCCGCTGGCAGCAAGCGACCTTTGATTGCGAATCGTCGCCGCTCGTCTTCAGTCGGGCTCGTGCTGAGATCAGGGCTCCCCGAAGCCTGAAGCGTTCGCGTAGCGGCAACCCCCAAAAGGGGACCCGGCGTATCTGCTTCTGGGGCAAGCGGCCCCATATTGGAGGAACTCCACGGCCTGGGAGGGAAGTATCCGAACCTCCCCTCCACAAGTTACCCGGATGGAGATGCGGCTGGAGGCGGACTCGCGTTTTTGTGCTGCCGGGATCAGCGGCGGAAACAATCGTAGCGATTGCAGCGCGTCGGCAATGTGGGGCTGCTTTTGGCGTGTAGTAGATGGTGGAGTCATCCTCGAAGCTTTAGCTGTGATTTGTTAGGTTTTGCGTTGGTGGAAGGATAGAGGATAAATTCCAGTGGGATTAGGGGGCCCTTACTCCAAGCGTGAGTGGTGTAGGACTAAGACATTCCTGAACCATTAAGCTTTAGTTTAGAAGGAGGTTCTCCGAAATCAATGGATGTGTAAAAAAAGCGCTTCTTCTAGAAATGTGTTAAATATCTCGGGATAGGCAGCGCCACTTTTTAAAGCATTGATCCTCCTTCAGCAATTAAAACAACATTTTTTTTAAAAATATGCTCCAAACTTGATTGCAGAAAATACACTTCAGCAACAGAGTGGTAAATGCCTGGAATGCACTACCTGANGACCGAAACCGAGCAACTTTGTCCGCTAAGAACTGGACGTAGTCCTCAGCCCTACCCTGCAGGGGATCCTCCGTAACCCTCCTATGTGCCTCTGTGCAGGCCCTATACTTACCTGGCATCCCAAACCGCCCACGTGGAGACTCCTGGGAGGGGCAGGGTGGGGTTGGAGGGGACACCAAGGGTGGGATTTGTAGGTTCGCCAAACTGGGCAGATCCTTAGCTAGAGGATCGCCTGAACCCGTGTGAACCTGCAGCAGCCCACCCACCCCTGCCCATCCTACTGAATGATTTATATGTTTTTGTACTGAGAGGTATTTTAGACTAAATTCTAAGATTAGTATTTTCAACTACCAGTAGCTGCAACAGTCCAATAATGCTTTCTCTGATGGCACTCATCTGATAATTTTCCAAATGTCCACACTGAATAATGTTTTGTTTGGGATGACTAAAATAGCAAATGTATCATCTATTTTCCTTATAAATGCTTTATGATCATCACATCACTGGATTAGAATTGAGCCCCTTTGCTTATCTAAAGTTTCTCTCTAATTTTCTGTTATTAAGCAGTTGCGACTGCACATTTGCTACGCAGTCTTACACCTGAATCATTCTCAGAGTGTTTACCCTGCGGCTGTATTCCATGTGAGTCTAGCAAAGGGCATTCTGTATTATTTTCTTCATTCATCTTCATCCTCTGGTTCGCTAATACAGGCAGTCCTTGGGATACAATCATCTGTTTCTCTGTGTCATATATGTATAAGTGGGTATTTGCATAATGGTTATCTTTTGAGAGCTGAATACAACAAAATTTCATTTTAATGTTATGCTGATTATATTTAAAGTGATAATAAAGTTTTCTTATTCTATTCTATTCTATTCCATTCCATTCCATTCATTTTTAGTAGTGCTTTCTCTCTTCCCTCGACATTATTTTTGCTGGGTATATGAGCTGCTTTAATCCCCCTTTTGGTTATTGATGTACCTAGGGTTGTGATCTGCCCAGCTTGTATTTTCCCCTTTAGCAGTCATGGGGATGTCCTTCCCCACAGTTGCCAAGTGCTGTCCTCTGTGACCATTTTGTCTTGAACTCCAGGAGAGACAAGAAACATAATTTCTGTATAGGAATATGCCCACAAAATGCCTGAATGGCACTTGACCTATTTTTTAGTTCAGTGCTCTTTTGAACAAGTGCTAGTCTGTGCTGTTGCAAAGATTGAGATGACTTCAGGGAAGGAATGCTATTTAAGACTTTTCTCTGTGGCATACGATGGAAGCAAAAGTTGGATTGCAAAGAAACAGAGTATCGATGCTTTTGAACTTTGGAGTTGGAGAAAACTCCTGAGAGTAACATGGACGGCCAAGAAAACAAATAAATGAATATTTGAACCAATTAACTCAGAATTCTGACATGAGGAATGAATGATCAAGCTCAAATTATCCAATTGGGCAACATTACACAAAGACCATCTAGCAGTTCAAAACCATGTGAGTAAATAAATAGGTACCACTTCGGCGGGAAGGTAACAGCGTTTCATATGCCTCGTTGTATACTCATGCTGGCCACATGACCATGGAAGCATCTTCGGACAACACTGGCTCCCTCACCTAAGAAATGGAGATGAACACTGCCTCCTAAAGTTGGACAGGACTGAACAGGGGAAACGTTATCATTATCTTTACACAAAGACCCAGAGTTTTTGAAAAAGACTCTAATTCTAGAAAAGAAGGAAGGAAAGAGAAGAAAAGGATGACTAGCAACAGGGTAGATAGCCTCAGTTCCAGAAACAATGAGTGCAGTGTTGAAAGACCTGAAAGACCAGATCGGGAACAAATCATCCTAGAGAAAATGTCTATGTTGCTAAGACTTGAACTAACCTCATGCACATAATCAAATAATCATAACTCTACCCTGAAAGATTTCTACATGAGCCTGTACAAATTTCAAAATCGCTCCAAGGGTCCTGGTCTCTCATTGCTGGGGTTAAACTTCCAAAGGATGATTTAAATAAGAATCACCTAAAGTTCAGTATGCAATTTAGAGCTGAAAGAAGGAATGGAGTCTGATGAGTCTGATTTTAAATGGGCATTTTCTGTACAGGTCTCCAATTTATTGCTAATCAACCTGAGACTTTTTAAAAAGGTGCACATGCTAGAAATCATTGCCTAAAATGTATAAGTAAATAAATTATGCAGTAATTCTTTCCATCAGACTTATCTGTTCTTATGTAGAAACCATTATGTACACTTTCCTTCTTTAGCGAGCCTATCTTTAGTTTCCCAGAACCATTTCTGCTGCCCTGGCTGAAGATTTCTAGTAAACATTTCATGCTGGCATTGATCAGTGGTTTTACAGTGTCATAAATACACATAATGCTTTATCTAATTAAGAGATAAACTGCCTGCAGTAATGTACTTGCTTAGATCGAGTCATCCTATAGTGTTTACATTTGTCAGGATCTATTCTCACTTGGCACTTAAAACAATACTGTTCAGAAAAAAAGATTTATAGTTCAGTCACAATTTTGTATACAATATTGCCTAAGTTAAGAAGTTCATTTATGTTATATTTCAGGGGATCTCAACCTTTTCTTCGCCACCGCCCCCCCCCCCTTTAAATGCCTTTTGTGGCCACAGACTGATGAAAGAAATGTCCTTCTGGGTTCAGCTCCAAGTGGGGAAGAAGACACNTAAAACAACATTTTTTTTAAAAATATGCTCCAAACTTGATTGCAGAAAATACACTTCAGCAACAGAGTGGTAAATGCCTGGAATGCACTACCTGAGCTTGTGGTTTCTTCCCCAACCCCCCCCCCCCAAACTTTAATTTTAAGACTGTCTACTGTTGACCTCACCCCATTCCTAAGAGATCTCTAAAGGGCATGCATAAGCGCACCAAAGTGCCTACTGTCCCTGTCCCAATGTCCCCATTTATTCGTATCCATTTCATGTATTCATAATCATCTGTTATCTTATACATGCTTGACAAATAAATAAAATAAACCTTGGTCAATACAAAAGCGATTGAGATCAATGTCTGAGTTTGAATGAGTACATACGGTTTTTAAGACAAGCAAGGCCAGACCACCATGCTCTTATGTGCTAATTTCTAGGTAAGTAAACATTATGGATGGAGTACAAAAGGATAAGGGGTGGCCAGTATAAGGGTCTTCCCCATCGCCATCCCTTGGTTGAAGGGAAAGATACTCAAGACTCAGGCATTTTTATAAAATCATCTTTATGAACATAATCCAGATTTTGATTGCACTTCCATAATTTCTCTATTAAAACGAACAGATTGCCCTAAATCCTGAGGCTGATGTTCAGACCCTTGGAGGTAAAGGCATAAAGAAGTCACATACACATCCTTTTAGTGTCTAGGTGTGAAGGAGTTCTCATCTGAAAAAACACAACTTAAAAACATGATAGTAATCATTCAATAATTCTTATCTACGCAAAAGGAACTGATATTTTTTAAAAAGTCCAGAACTACTGTACAAGATAACCTTTAGCTCAAGCAGGCATCTGCCTAATTTCATTAGAGAACAAGAAGGGGGTGAAGGTGTTGCAGTCAGACTTCCAAGATCATATTATTATAGCTAATCTCAATAAAAGTAGTTTTAATTTTCTTGTGGAATTGATTTCCTGGCCTACCTAGCAGGACTGACAGAAGTAAACAATCTGTCAGAGAAACTAAGTTTTCTGTCCTGGATACATTACAAATAAAATGGGAAAAACTAACCATCCTGGCTGCTCTCTGCACTCTGCAACAGTTGAGTTTTTCAAATCAAATCAAATCAAATCAAAGCAGCTCATTTTCTTTTTAAATGCTGATGAGGCAAAGGAGATTCAGACATTCACTAACCATGTCAGATTGCATCATCTTAGCTATTAAATCAAGCCTTTTAGTAATGTTATTGCTTCTGAATATAATCAGTAATTAATCAAATTCTGCAATTCATCTGCAGACATGTGGTATTCTAAATCAGATAGACTTTGACTTTGTCTAAATCTCTTTAGTAAAGTGCTTCTCAAACATAAAAGTAAGATCAGATAATTATCACAGTCAGATTGGGATGTGGCTCACTCTTGCTTCCTTGCTTCCTTTGATAAATTGCAAGGTCACAGGAATCATAAGCAAAATTTCTAGCAAAAGTATAATTATAAAGTTTATTGCAGAAGAAAAACGTGACCTGACAAATGTGTGCACGACAAAAGCTCGCCGACAAAACTGCGGCGCTAAAACCGCAACATCATCAACGTGACGTCATCAACGCAGCGACAACAGCACGCTGACAGAAGCGCGATTTAAGTTAGGTAAGGGTTAGGTTTAGGGTTAGGTTTAGGGTTAGGTTTAGGTTTACAGTGCGCTTCTGTCGCCGCGCTGTTGTCACTGCGTTTCAGCGCTCATTTGTCGGCGCGCTTTAGAACTCGCGGTTTTGTCATCGTGGTTTGGTCAGGCGCGCTTTTGTCGTACGCCCTTTTGTCGGTGAACCGAAGAAAAATACAATGAAAAGACCAAA